GTGAGAATATGAGAAGAGACCAGGGTCGGTGAAGAAGAAGGGAGGAGGATGTCCTCCAGGACCTGGAGCAGAGATTCCTCTGGGTCATGGTGAAGACCATGGGGAGGCAGGCTGTCTCCCTGCAGCCAATGGAGATGACAAGGTATAGGTGTCCACCTGTGGCCCATGGAGGACACCACGCTGGAGTGGGTGGATGCCTGAAGGGGGCTGTGACCCCGTGGGAAGCCCACGCTGGTGCAGACTACTGCCAGGACCTGTAGCTCCTGGAGAGAGAGAGGAGCCTGTACCAAAGCAGATTTCCTGACAGGACTTTTGTGATGCCACGAGGGATTTCCCTGGAACAGTTTCCCTTTGAAGGACTGCATCCCATGGGGAGGACTCACGTTAGGACAGTTTGTCAAGAATAGTCTCTTGTGAGAGGACTTATGTTGGAGAAAGTGTGTGAAGATTGTCTCCCGTGAGAGGGACCCAACAGTGGTGCAGGTAAAGAGCCCTCCCCTGACGGAGGAAGGAGCGGTGGAGACAACTTGGGATGAACTGACCGCACCCCCCATTCCCTGTTGGGGGTAGTACTAGTACTACCCACTGCTTGGGGTTAGTAGCTGGATAAATTGGGATTGATGTTAAGCCCAGGAAGAAGGGAGGGGTGGGGGGAAGGTGTTATTTTTAGGATATATTTTTATTTCTCTTTACTCTTCACTGATCCGTTCTTTAATAAATTTCCCCAAAATTGAGTCTGATCTCCCTGTCCTCATCTCAGGGGTTCTCTCCCTGTCCTCATCTCAAACCATGAGCCCTTTGTTATATTTTCTTCTCCTGTCTAGTAGAGAAGGGGGGGTGATAGAGCAGCTATGTGGGTACCTGGCTGCCGGCCGGGGTCAAACCGCTACAGCCGCCATTGACACCATGCTTGGCTTTGAGCTGTACAGCCTCAGAAGAGTTAAAGACCTTTTGGTTTCTTTTTGGTGTTTTCAAACATCAATTAAACTGCAAACAAAGGCTATAGATTATGATGACCTTTACAACGACTTTTCATTCCTGGGATAGAGATGTGATGGTGTGAACACACTGTTAATAATAATAATAAAAAAACCCCATTAATAACTTCCTCAGGAGCCACCAAGCAAAGTGTAAATTGCTTTCTGCTTGGTATCAAATTTTCATGCAAGATACTGTTTCATGGAAATTTTCAGTCTTGTTAAAATTCAGATGACCTAAAAATAATGCTACCCTTTTCACCTCTGTACATTTTGTCATCTCAGCTGACAAACGTGATTTTTCTAGATATGATCAGCTTTTTATAATGGCTTCTACTAAAAATACAGCCTGTTGATTTTCCCTTGTTGTCCTGTAAAATGGATCGGGAACAGTAGGTTTCTTTGTTGGTCTATGAACTTGCTGAAAATAAATGCTTTGGGGTGAATAGTGACACCCAAACCATTCTGTGATTCTAAGATGGAGAGGAGATCCTCAGACTGTACTTTAACCATTGAATTACTCTGCCAGTGAAATTTTAGCTAGGAAGAGGAATTGCTTTCTTGCTGAAATAATCATGTTCTGCAAATTGCCTTTATCACAGTTCTGCAAAGGTCACTACTTTTCAGTAGCTCACAGACAAACAAAGCAAACAGCGTAATAAACCTGAATTTTAGTATTTGTTCATCTGTCTTTTGAGCTTCCTTTAGTTTGGTGCTATCTGAGCGCAGAGATAATTTTGCAGTTCTTCGCCAGAGCAGGCACCCGTCTCTGCTCACTCTCCCTCTGCGGTGAGGCATGTGGAGAGAAGATAACTTTAAAACCCAGCTTCCTCCAAGTTTGACAAGAGGGTTCAGAAGGCCCAAAGCAAGAAATACTTTTTCTTTTTGCTGTTTTTAGCTCCTGCTGTTGAGATGGCACTCAGCACCGCGGAGGCCTGCTTTGGTGTTTGTGTGTCATTGGTGCGCGAGGGGAAGCTCTCGGGGTGGCTCCATCCAGATGGGCCTGCCAAGTAATTCTGGTGCTCAGCAGGGAGCCGTCTTCTGCACAGTGACAAGGGCCCACAAAGACGAAGAGGGAAAGCAGCATGAGCCCATCCCAGGAGGTGAAGATGCAAGCCCTTTTCTCTGTATAAATCGTCCTTGAAGGGAAAGTGCAGGTAAAGCTGTGCCACGAGGCAGATGTTCGCATCGTGGTGTCAGCTGAAGCGCTGCTGCTCTTAAGGTCAATTCTAACTGTCGGCACAGCCCAAAGGTGCATGTAGCTGTCAGTTGTTTCTTCTGAAAATTCACTCTGCTTTAATAAAGGGGAGAAATCCCTTGTTCTAGCAAAGTCCAGAAATAACAGATGGCTCATATGTCAGACATCAGCAAATCCTGAAGCTGTGGGCACAGCCTCTGTCTGTGTCCTTTTGAGAAACCTACCTGCTACCAGGATTAGATTGCACAAGAGCTTGGCATTTGCTGTATTAAGACCAAAAGTGTAAGTTCAATTTGCTTATAGCCTGCTGTTGTTGGACCCAAAAGCTCTCTGCACAGAAGTAATGGAGATTTTATGTAGATGCTGGTGTTTTTCGCTGTGTTTTGGAGAGCATTCAGGCTAAGAAGTTCTAATTTTCTGAATGGAACTGTGCTTTCTTTAAGCATTTGAGGCTTCATTATCCATGTAAGTGGAAGTCCTCTTACTAATTTTGGGTGACAGTGGGATTAGGACATAGAGCATGAGGCTGACGTCTTGCCAGACTGCTATGGCCCTGTGCTTCAGGTTAGCATAGGAGATGACAGCAGATTTTATTTGGATAAAGCAGGTCCTCCAGGTATTGAGATTCAAGTCATGGTCTCTCCAGCGGGTTAAGCAGTTGCAGTAAGGGGATGGGCCAGGCGTCCTATGCTGACAAAGCAGACTTGGGGTCAAGGTGAACTAACAAGGGTCATGCTGTGCAGGCTGCTGAGAGAGGTATGAAGAGTTTCACGTTACTTGTGGAGCTGTTGACGTTACTTCTTTCGATAGAGATTTTTTTGTCACCTAATCCCATTCTCTGCCATGCCAGCTTGATGTATGATCTCAATAATGTGGGAAGAATGGGGAAAATCAGTGCAGTGGCTATATTTCAGTACTGTTTCTGTCAAGGGAAAGATGTCGGTCACAGGCTGGAAGAAGCAAACAGTGTCTTAGCACTGTGTGAGACTGAAACTCTTAATATCCCTGTGTGCAGACCTGTGGCTCCATTTTCAGGCACTTCACTCCCTTGAAGAGTCACGTGTTTAAGCTGTGTTGAGCACAGTGGAGAACCATTTCCAAACATTCCAGCAGCAAAGCAGAGATGGGGAGGAAGAGTACAGAGAAACTTCAGTTAGTGCCAAAGTAGATCTGCCGTACCAATGAAGCAATTGAAGTGACACCATTAAATTAACAGTCGATAAGCTTACAGGAAATGAGTTAGGGAGATTGCTGTGGATATGAAGAAAGATTTAAAACTGATCATTTGAATGTTTTGGTTATTGGATCTGCTGAGGCCCTGTTTCAGGAGAGGAGCCCTCTTCTGTAGGTAGATCGAATCACTTTCTGCTTAGAAGAGATCTTGGGGACATCCCGTGGAACTGGCTGGTCATCTGGCATAGGGAGTGTTTCATGTTGCAGCAGTAATGGTGATTTCAAATCACATTGAGTGTAAGTGGAGATCAAAAACTTTTTGGGATAGGTTAAGCACCAAAAGTGGGGGTGGCTGGCATCCTTTCTCACCTAGGTTACTCTCATTATGCTCTGCATCGCTGCTATCAGAACCATTGCTTTTAGCTACTCTAAGCAGAGAGACGAAGAATGAAATTTGTATGTAAGGCTGCTTTCCTTGCTGTGACGCTTTTGGCACAGTCAGAGCACGTTGATGCGGCTGTGTGAGAAGACAGCAATGGTTATACTGGTTTGTATCTGTGCAATGACTGGTGGCATCTGTTTGACGATTTGCTAAAAGATTTCAGCTGGTGGAGCTGTCAAGCTGACACCTTTGATGAGCACTAAAATAAATCTGTGCTACCAGGAACTGCTCTTTTTTTTTTTTTTTCTCTCCTGCTTTTGATTTGCTTGACTCTTTGTATCCTCGCCAATAACTAGGAACAAGGGTAATGCATTATAAACTCTGAAGAGTGAAGCGAGCGGCTGTCATTTTTTGCACAACAGATGTTCCTGATCAGGAATCAAACAAAGGATTTCATTGCTCTTCCTCTGAGCAATTTAATTTGCCTGTTCCATGGCACACCAGCCACCTCCTGTCTCGTGACTGATGTGCCCAAGTCCTACTTCATTTTAGGATCAGTTCCTTTAATCTTACAGAATTATTAGGGTTTTTTTCTGCAGCAGATCAAAGAGAGTGGAAAAAAGGAAATTGCTTCACTGCTTGCGGTGTCACCAATAATGCATCATAATGAAAAGTAGCAAAGGCCTACTTCAAAAACAGGAAGCCCAAGTACTACATTTTAAGAGAACTAGAAAGTACTCTATGAGCACTTTTTTTGAGAAACAGCAGTTTAGATTTGATGGTGTTTCTTTAGCAGTTGTAAGGCTCAGAAGTAGATATAAGCGGCATATAATCCGTCAGACTCTTCTAATGCAATTTAGCGAAGCGGAAAAACTGATATATTTTTAAGGAAAGTTTTTTGCTGTGGATCCAGTTCTCCACTCCTTAATCATGCAAGTTGTCCAAAATGAGTAATTACGGGGAGGGTTTGCTTGCTTTTCCATTTAGTTTGATAAAACTGTATCGCTCTGCAACTGTTGTGTAGTGATGGATGAGTCCTGCTGGAGATGTAAATTCCACCATTATTCTGTGTTTAATTTCTCAAGTATTAGCCTGGCATAGGGCAATTGTTTCGCCTGTGTCCAGCTCTTGTGCAGTGCGGCACATCTGCCAGTGGTGTCACAGCCAAACAACAACCAGTCCTGATCACTGGGCAAACTGGGTGTGAGGAGCTCATCCATCACTGGTAGAAAGAAGAACCACTCATGTACAACTTCTTTTCATTTGTCAGGTTGACAGGACAGAAGTGATTCGAACCTGTATAAACCCTGTCTTCTCCAAGCTGTTCACGGTGGACTTCTACTTTGAAGAGGTGCAGCGGTTGCGGTTTGAAGTCCATGACATTAGCAGCAATCACAATGGGCTGAAGGAAGCAGATTTTCTTGGTGGCATGGAGTGCACTCTTGGACAAGTAGGTGTCACTGCCACTATTTCCCCTTGTTGCTCATCTTCCACGTGTGTCTGAAATATATCGCTTTGTTAAATGACTGATGGGTGAGATCTGTTATTCATTACAGAACTCTTAATCAGTGCCTTGAACTAGATAATTAAGAACTTCTGCTGGTTTGACTTACTGCTGTACTTCAGCTTCAGATCACTTAGTGCTATAGTAAACTGAGCATCAGTGATTGGGCTCATACAGCAGGAGCCAGGCTTATTGCATTAATGTTGAGAAATAGACTGATTTGGGAGAAAGTTATTCTAACTAACATTATATGGGTTTTACAGGAAGTTCCAAGTCCAAGGAGCACTTTCAGAAAAAAACTTTATTTACGTCGGGTAGTGCCTGGTGATGTGGCAAATAGTGAGATAGGGTTGGATTCATTTCCCTGACTCTCAGTCCTCCAGAAGTTAGGTGTCTAGACTAAGCTACTCTTTGATTTCCATCTTGAGTTCAGTGGAGAGAAACAGGCAGTTCAAGCAGTTGATTCATTCCGCCTGAGACACTCATGATAGATTAGGATAAATTGCCTTCAGGAGATACCTGTCTTTCCCCATCAGTTATCAAGGAGCCTAGACAGCAGGCTTAGAGTACATACCTAACTTCTCAGATGACTAAATTTAAAGGTGATGGGTCCTGACCACAGAATCGATATCTAGAGGTCATCAGTGAATTCCTGCATCGCTGATTGGCAGCTACAGCATCCAGGTATGAGAGTTTGTTTCTAACCGACACACTTTTTGTTCTGCAGGGTCTCATAACAGATCTCAGCTCTGTCCAGGCAGGCAATGCCAAAGAGGGTCTCAATTTCGCTGAGCCAGGTGTGGATTTGATCTGTGCTCTGTGGCAGCTTGTGTGACAATACCAGACAGGGCTTTTGTTTAGATTATATTTTGTGGTGCTGCCATGGGAGTTTGTAACCTGGACACAGCAGCATGGCACGGAAGATGCTGCAAAGCTTTTGTTGCCTGTTTGCTCACCTTTTATTGTTGCTCCCTCAGCGCCACCACATGCTGGGAAGAAAAAACATCTTTGGTTTTCTTCCCAAAGCCATTGGGTCAAACACCCTGAAAGAGGAAAAGTCCACTCAGTGAGAGAATATGATATATATGCATTTACTAAGTTGGAAGCTCAATGTGAAAATCAGAATATTTACAGGGCATTATGAAGTCTGTAGTTCTTGACAGACTTCTTGTGGCCTTAGTCAATGAAAATAAGCTATCCTGTAACACCCAGGAGAATGAGAAATAAAGAAAAAAATTGTTATAATGTTCTTCTTCCTTAATTGGCTTGAAAAAGAAGGGGGGAAAATGTCACTGCTGCTGCCTGTAGCATAAATGCTTTTATAGTGATTTGAGCTCTATAAATAGCACACAGCTGGCTGGGTTGCAGTGTGATTTTAATGGTAACCAAGAAAAAATAATAACAGTGTGAAATCTGTTCACAGTGGTGCAGCCTTGAGGACTTTGATCTCATGTTTAGAGTTTTTTGGTGAGGTTTTTTTTCCCCCTTTCTTTCTGGTTTTCTAACTTTATGTAACTCTTTAACTGATTTTAAACCCCAGAACGTTAGCAGTGGAGCTTCCATCCAAGCAAAGCCCCTATGAGGAGTCCAGCGCTGTAAACCCTGCAGCACAGGCTGTGCAAGTGGAGCTTGCAAGCAGAAATATTTTAACAGCCCTTTTGGGGCACCACCTCTTGCTTTCAGACAGGTGCTTCAGGTGCTGTGGATCAGTTCACCCTTGCTGTAGTTTTACAGATGTTGTCTCTGTAACCGAGCAGAGTATTTTTTTTTTTTTTAGTGGATTGGGCTTTTTTTGTCCATCGAAAAACAATGGGGGAAAAAAAACCTTCTATGTACAAACATTGTCAGGAAGTTGATAGCCTGATTTTCATGGTTTTCAGCTAGGATAGGAAACCCCTCCAACCTCAGTCCTCTTCTGGTTATGTGTTGGTGCCTTCGTGTGTTCTGAGCCTCTCTAAATCTCTATTACTGGAATCATTCAGATTTTATTCCGTAAGTTTTATAAAGCATTGAAATTGCATCACTGAGTACAGTAAGGGCTCAAACTTGCTAATAGCCAAAGTTAACCTTTTAACCACATGGGAATTAAGTATTAGGAGGGTGGATTGGGAACACTTTTTTCCTTTGAAGTTTCACCCAGAAGTCTCAGCCTGAGCTTTAAGAAATCACAGAAATTATTGCAATGAGTAAACATTTTCTGATGAGAACTAAATGAAATGATGTTGCTACGACATTCTCAGTTACTGCTCGGGTCTACCTGCGCAACATCATAAAATTACAGGAACCAGTTAAGTTGTTACCTCTGAAGTGCTGTGCACCATCCCAGCTCTGGGTGTGGGAATAGCCCTTGTGGCTCTTCTTTCATTACTTACCATGGCTGGTCTTTGCCATTTTCAAATTTGCGTTTCTGTTCCTTGTTTGTTTTCTTTTAATTTACAGAAGTGCTAAAATGCGGTTACAATTCACAGCTCCTTTACTTCCTTGACTAGTAGCACAAGGAAAGTAAACTGCAGAGATCTAGATCTTTTCCTGCCAAGAACATTTTCAGTGTTATTTAGAGATTTAATATTTCCCTTACACACATTCATGTACAAATTTTATTGAAGATCTTCCCTCTCAGTAATGAGTAGCATTGTTTCTTGTGTGCTTTAATTAATAGATGCCATTAGCAGATAATGCACTTGAAAATTCTGGGTGATTATTAGTTCAGTTTCAGCCATTGCAAATCCCCTTGCTCTTGAATTGGAGAAGGGTTAAAAGAGCCGTGATTGCACCTGAATTAATTAAATTGAAGTAGACTGTGTGAGAATATTTGTTTAATATGCTGCTGACTGCTTCTGTGGTGCAAAAGACATAGGACCATTTTTTTCAAGGTATTTGAATTCCTAAACCTCATTAGATGCCTGTATGCCTTCTTAGGTATCTAAATACCTTTAAATACTTGGCCTTTGATCTCCTCCAGATGAAGTTGCTCAATTCATTAGTGGAATGAATAATGTGCTTTATTAGAGATGAATGTCATTTTCTACCAGGGGACTCAGGGCACCAGCAAATCATCAGCACAGGGCTCTGCCTGACTCGCTACTGAAATGCTTCAGTATGGCATTGCACAGGATCTCTGAAGCTGTAAGATTTTCAGTCCCAGATGAATCTTGCCAAAGTTAATGGGCTTACTTCCACGGTTTATGCTGCTTTGTTTTTACATACTTTATCTTTTTCTATGAATTATGGTAACAGACTTTAGGAAAGTAATTTAAAATTTAGTTTGCTGCTGTAATGAGTTGTTATTATTACGTCTAATTCTGAAAGGGCTGCTACACTACATAGTAATTAAATTCAAAGCCCTTTTAAGCTATTGATAAGCTATTTCCTGTAATAATGTTATTCCCTCTTGTGATAGGGATATCTTTTTTGCTCAGTGTTCTGTTTCGATTGACAGTTTTCAGGTACAGGTCTTTAACAAAGACAAGGTGAGGTGTAATTCAGCTGTAAATAGACTGTGGGCTGATCGATACTATAGGGAACTAACGAAGACTCTTTCTGTACCATATTGCCACTCTTGAAGAGTAGCAGTATGGCACAGAAAGTATCATACGTACAGAGTGGATTATTATAGCAAAAAAAAACCCCAAAATCAACAAACAAAAAACCTGGCTCTACCAAGAAAAAGAATTGTGAGAACCATTAGGAAGAATAAAACTTCCCTCATTATGGACATACACACCTGAACTCGTTCTCTTTCAGGCATCTCTTGGTATCTGTGAAGGGGTGAACTCATCCCCAAACCTTTTTTTACTTGAGATCAGAGTAAGGTCACTGGCGTCCACCTCCTGTCTGGTCTCTCTTCACGTTGAAATGTAACACCTCGGTGCATCTTTTGACTTATCTGACCCCATTTGTGGAATATATTTGGTGGGTTCAGGAGCAGCTGGGGGATAGACAACGAGACAGACACAGCATGTCAGAGTTGTACAACTCTTGCTTTGTCAATAAAACAATATCATGAAAGTGTTAGTCTTTCATTTGAGAGACTTTGTAGCTGTGAAAAAGGTGTCTTAAGGGTTGTATTTGTGTTTATGCAAGACAGGGAGAGTTTAAGGTAAGTTACATGAACAATAAAGATGAAATAAACTGATAGCAGCTTTTTTACAAGTGATTCGTGAGAGCTCGTTTGCACAGTGCATGAACAGAAAGGGCAATCCACTGCTAAGGAAAATAGATTCCTTGACAGTTGTTGCAGTGATAGTCTGCAGCTCCTAAATGGCTAATTACAGCTTGAGGCAATGACGTTGGCACATTGCTGCCAGATGGAAGATTTATTTTACTGGCCACTTAATTAACAACTGGTAAATGGTGGCACCCAAAGACATGGATTTACATGTGCAGAGTGCTTACTGTGTCACAGTGATGCTCATTACTGTGATCTACTGATGGCAGTGTCAGAATAAACCATCTCCTCTGGAGCTCCTGAGCTTCGGGCTCTGCTTGCTGCAGGAGAGCTCCTGCTGCTGCTGAAATGAAGCCAGCTGCAGGTTGGGGTCCCACTCAGGTTCTCACAGCAGGACCATGTATATGTAACATATCTGGAAAGGTTTCTGGTACACAGTACCCACAGCTTTCGGTAGAAGAGCTTGATGTATTTCGCAAAATTGTGCGAGCATCTGGATCCTGGCGGGACGGGTTATCCATCCTGTGCTCCCCGTCTGTTGGTGCCACTGGCCAATGCTAGTGGTGAAATCCAAAGTTAGTTTGGAAAAGGGAGTGGGGTGAAAGGCAGTCCAAAAAGGACAAGCTGCAAAAATGAAGGGTAAGAAACAGCTGGCAATCTAAAGTGGTCATAAAATGAGTATTAGTGAACAGTATCATGGTGTCAAAGGCAATTCTGGAGTGTATCAGCTTGCAAGACATGACAACTTCTTCTTGCCTAAGAATGACCAGGAGTATTATATCCAATTTTGAGCATTATCCTAAGAATAGGGTATGGGCCAGTGCATGAGGGCTCAGCAGAGAGCAGTGAGAATGGAACTAAAACTGTGGGGCAGGTTGCTTGCTTCTGTCCTGGGATTAGAACTCCTGATATTTTGAAATAAGATAAATGCCTTTCATCCCATCCTGCCTGCAGGCTTGCAGGGGAGCCTTCCTTCTCAGCCCTGGTCTCACGGTGCTAACTCTGCTCCTGGATGGAGACACTACCTCAGTGCAAGAAAAAAAGGCAACGTGAAGATGAAACCACAAGAAGTCATGTATGTGCTACAGATTCTGATTTTTCCCCTTTGTTTTTATTTTTATGCAGATTGTTTCTCAGAGGAAACTCTCCAAGTCCTTACTCAAACATGGGAACACAGCAGGAAAGTCATCTATAACAGTAAGTGAGTCTTAAATACACTCTTTTTTCCCTATAAAAATATAATGTGACTAATTGTCCCTAAAAGCATCCTGCTAAGTCACCAGAACAACCCTTGATTGAGAAATGTATTTAAATTGTTTATTTGACAGATTCCTTGTACTGTTTCCGACAAATTGGAAACAGCAGCAAATAATGTGTGATTTGTACAAAAGCCACAATATTTACTACTACTGCTTTTAAAGTACCTCGATGATAGCAGGAAGGTTGTGCTGCTTGATTACTTTTAGTTGAAGGTCTAGAACCCTCATGAATTCATTTTGACCTGCCTGGACATGTGGAGGAGGCTGTTTCTCAGCCCTTGGGCTTCTTCCAGTTCATAACAAGTCAGAAAACACACACGGAGGCAGCCAGCAACACCAAGTGCAGAAGCATGATGAGATTAGGTATTTTAGCTATGTTGTAATGCAATTATAGACTGGGTACTTATAGCCCCATGCATATCTTGACATCTGCAAATCAGTGTATTACCTCTCTTTCATCTTTTTTTCTCTTTGCTGGCTTGTTTAGGAGATCAAGCTTGCCTGCACTGAATCCAGCAAGCCTGTGACATTTGCAGCTCTACATTAAGACAAAGCCTGTAATAAAATATTCTGCTTTGGGGATCTCTGCTCTGTTGCCTCATGGGGTGGAGAAGGATTTTCTCCCTTGATGTGCAATTAGCCAGATGGTTTCTTTTGGCTTGATTGTTTGGATTTTTCTTCTGCCTTCAGCTATGGAAGAGACAGCAGTCTGTGAGAAATAATGCTTTCTGAGAGTCTAGGGAATTTCTCTCTTAGATATCTTCATTGGTGCTTGACTGGGAAGGGAGTTGCTTAAATGCATACACTAAACTCAGTTTTGGTCTGAGATTGGAAAGGAATTCCCCCCTACTCTGGCTGAACAGAACCAGGAGGGAGTGTTGCTCTCCAAATAACTCAGTATGGTTTGCCCTCTGGGATTATCTGGGTATACTTCATCTCATCCATTCCCGTGGTCTTCTGGACCACCCTCAACTTCTGAGGGCCACAAAGGAGTTTAGTCTTGTGAAAACACAACTGCTCTAGTTCAACTAAAATCATTATGATTATTTGTAGAGTGCTCTGGCAAAAATTAATGCTCTGTGATGCACAGAAGGTGAGAGAAAATGAGTTAATAGTCCCTACTGGCCTAATGCTGGATGATAACCGTAAAATACAGACCTTGGTTACTTGCATTGGCTTCCAGCCAGTAGCACTAGAGAGCAGGTTGATTTTACTCAAATGGGAGAAAACTGAACTGAGACAAAAATTATTGTTTGCAAAGCCTGCTGTCTCAACAGAGTAAATCCAAATGGATTATTTATCACTGTTTCTGGACCTGGGGACATGCCAGGTGTTTGCCAAGTATGGAATCTACAAATACTAGTTTCCTAACCTGTTCAGCATACTGAATTACAAGTTTTTTGTAGGATTTTGAAAGTTCCTGTCTCACATGTGTTATTGGAATGTTATTAGCCCTTTGACTGTGTAAGATCAACACAATTTTATATGGATATGGAATGAAAACAGAACATCATTCTGCAGTTAGAAGTCTGTCAAGCTTTAGAAGTGAGAGTTTGTTATTTTCAATAAAAATATTTGTGAAACCTGGAGTGCAAATCCTGGAGCACTGTTGGTCATACACAGTTTATGATCCTTCAAACCATCAGAAGAGAATACATATAAGAGAAACGTGTTAAACTCTGGCCCCTTGGAGGTGCCCCCTCTGCATGGAACACCTGCTTCCACAAGTGCCCCTTCAGCTGTGTCCCCACAACATCTCCTTCTCCATGCTGAAGCAGCATAAAAATAACTAAGATTTAGGCCCAAATAATACAACTCGTCACCAGGTGATTGACAGGGCATTTGGGTGTGTAGGCTTAACGAGGTGACACCCATCAGGGGTTTCTGACTGCAGAGAGAGACACACTGGCTTCTGCCACACCTCGGTTTCCTAGTGGGGTCCACAGACTTCACATCAGAGGAGGGTGGTGACGTTCTCACTGCTCGTTGCACCCTGCGCAACTCAACTGCGACTTTCCATTTAGGTGATCGCTGAGGAGCTGTCAGGCAATGACGACTACGTTGAACTTTCCTTCAGTGCACGGAAATTGGATGACAAGGTGAGCTGCTCAGTGTTAACCTTACTGCAAGACATAGTTACACTTGCAAATGAAATTTGATGAGATTTTCCCAGACAGATTATTTTTTGCCTGATATTAATAAACATAGAGGAGATCTCAGATTAATGTTCACAATGAGGCTTTCCTCAAGTTGTGAAGTAATTAAAAAAAAAAAAACAAAACAAAAACCTTGAGAGAATCTAATTAAAACCAAGACAAGTTAATTATGCTATAACTATGACAATTCAATTACTTAAAATGCCACAAATCAGAAGTGACTAGAGAAGTGAACTTCCTATAAGTAATCAAAGATGTTATAGTTGAGGTAAGCATCGTAAAATAAAGCCAGAAAACTTCATCACAGCCCAGCCACAATATACATTTTGTTCAACAAATGTAGCTTGAATGTGAGAAAAAACCTTGAGTATTTGTTAAAATTTTTTCCCTCTTTGATAAGAAAACTCTCCACTGACTCAAACAGTACTCTTCATTATAAGGCTTGCCTCTTTCTGAAAATACCCATTCTTGCTTAGCTATATGTATGTATATATATACACACACACACATATAT